GCCAATGGTTTCATGGGTATGATTTTTTGCCAAAAACACAAGGGTTTCCAAGAAAGTGGAATACTTATATGTATGTCTAACACCAAATTTCATACTCTTAGATCCTATTTTGACGGAGTTCTTGCTGTAGCGTTCTATACGGTAAGTTCGGTGTATGGCAGCTATATGTCATTATCGTCCAATCTGTCTGGTTTCGATGAATGATCTGTGAAACAACTTTAGTTGAATTATTTCAAAAACTACAAAACAGACGTACAGTTGCAAACAGACGGACAGTTGGAAAATCGACTTTGCTAAATAAACTCGTCGTTATGACCCGTTTGATATAAATTTTGATGAGTCTACTTCTTCTTCTTCTGGAACTGATATATTTCGAACCAAATTCAAATAAGCCATTTACCGTGAATGAAAGGTATCAAAATTATCACTTCATCTCAAGCCAAAATTAGAAAAATGTTTGTTTAAAATTAAATTAAATTTTCAACTAGATTTCGATTGGAAAATTTATAGTTTCATACTAAATAAAAAAAAATAAAATTATAAAAAAAAATTTGTTCAGAGCAGCAACAAAATTACTATTTTTTGCTTAACGTTAGACTAAAGTGGCAACAGTTTCTTATAAATTAATATGTACAAAAAATATTAGGATCAATAATAAACATCAAATGCAAGACTTGGATAAAAAAATATATAGTCCCATACTAGTTCAAAACAGGCTCAAAAACTACTAGTTCAGTGTGTTGTCGAAAATTGAAAATATTTCTTTTTGAATATCCAAATATCGAATTTTGGGGATAGTCATACTAGTATCGTACTTTAAAAATTGATCATATAGCACTTTTTAGGTGCATCAAAGAAGTGAGAGCCGAATGGTTGGCTTTAGGCACTGACAGTCTGAAAGCCAGGCAACGAGTACTGGTTCGACTGATATCCAAAAGTTATTGCGAATAAGAATAGACTGTAGATTCAAACATTTGTTGTAAAAAAATGGTCGGAAATTTGCAGAGGAGCACGACCGAAATTCCTGTTAGCGCTTACAATGTGAAAATTGTATACATGCCAGTAAGCTCTACTCCCAAACTAGTACTACAGTTAACTAGTTTAGTGTTTCACTTTGGGAACAGACTGCAGTACTCAAACGAGTTTTTGCATACGTAGCTGAAGTTATAACGTTTGGTTATCGCTTGTGTCCTTTGTACGTCTGCTAACTGTCTATCCAAATGTCCATCAATATTTTATCAGTCTGCCACACATCACAAGCTGACTTTTTGCTCTTTTTATCCCACTGACACTCATCAACGATTTTTGTCGTTGTCGTTGGTACCATTAGTATTGTTGTGATTATTATGAGTTTTGCGGCTGCATAACCACAAATGTTCGGTAGTTGTACATATTCAATTTTACCTGCGCCGAACTGCCAGTAATGGTTATCGCTGTGGCAATAGCAAACGGCAAGTGAATTGGCATATTTTAATTTTCTCTTTACCTTGTGGTTGTTAATATTCTTATGGATATCAAATGAATTGATATGAGAATATACAATTGGATACGATCAAACATATATAGTATATAGCACGTGATTGTGCTTGAATGTTGTGCTTGAATATATTATATTTGATTTAAAATTTAATGAAAAGTTTTTAAAGGTGTTTTTCGAGCCTCTGTAGACACCGAAGTTATCGCAGACTTGAACAAACATCCGTTTGGAAGCAAGTCAAATGAATAATGAATGCTGCTGGGCTAGTGTGAAAGATTTCGCACTCATCGCAAGAGAGCTCTCATCAAATGAAAAATATATAGACAAGATTTTGGTGGAAAACCTTTCTTTTGATTACAACGAAAAAATCTGGAGTCTTCTGAAATCTGCTACGTCGGCAATGTGAAGGAGCGGAAATTATGTCTTCGTTGAGTCTAATTTGACCTGGAAGACGGGCATCTCGCCACAATCCGCAAGAAGGCAAAGAGCGTTAAAATGTCGCTGGTTCGGGACCACGCCCCGACGTACGAGAAGCACAACGTGATCAAAGATGCCTTTACCAAATATTTGGAGCGTTCTCATGAGCGTCACCTCAACCACGATGTAAAAATTGTACATGTCCGGGGCGGGCTAGGTTCCCCAAATCGGTTGAATCTGATCAACTGGGTCCGCACCGAAAAACTCGAAACTAAATCGAACAAGTTGTGTTAGATGAACGACATTTCTTCGATGTTCTAGAAGGGTGCATGCTTGCCTTTCTGCCGCAGAGAACCCTTGCCAACAAACACAAAAATACTTGGATGTTGAAATCAAAAGAGGAGCGGGTACAAGGAGAGAATATAGACTGCCTATTCTCGATTTTTGCGTAAGAAAGTTTCCAATAGCTGAGGAGCGAACCGAAATGAATTCGCCGATAATACGATTAAATAGCAGTAATAGATGAGGTGATGTGGTGATTCATGCCTGGATTCTACTGAATTTATGGAAAAGTGGCAGATAAAGTCAAATACCTTCATCACTGGAGAAAGCATGCCGCCTTATACGAACCGCTTATAAATCGCCACCCTCAACGAACTGACTAAACCTTAAAATTGTGGCTTTAGATTTGTTAGGATTACCAATGAAATAAATATTGTAGAGAAGAGCACCGATTCCACTTAGTATTTCCTGTTATTGAATCAGCTAAGCCCGCTTTAGTCTTGCCCATGCCAATCATGAAAAAGAACAATAAGATATTTTAAGAGTGGAGTCCTGTCTTTATGAATGAACCTTAAAGATATGACGAGGTAATAAAAAAACTTCCAGTGAACAAATTGAAAGTTTGCAGAAAAATCCATACAGAAAAAAACCAAGGAAACTTAAAACAATTTCAATGCACCTGACGTAAGCTGAGCATTAAATGCATATAAGAATACTTTATTCCACACGTCAGTTGCATTGTTGTGAATTGTACAAATTTGTTACTCATACTGTGTTTATTGTTTTCGTTGTTATTGTACCGAACAATGTCATAATAAAAGCTTCAATTAAAACTTGCACGAAATCAAAGGTAGACAAATGACGTTGGGGTCGTTTGGACAGACGATGAAACAATAAAGGCATGCACACACACACTTACTCATACATATGAGAGTACATGTGTGAAAGAAGTAAAATACAGCAGAAGGAAGGATGTTGGCACTGAAGGATATGCAAATGCTATGTACAAGGGATAGTGTGTTGGCTTGTATGCAGCTATCTGATGATTTTATTAACTGTCGGTGGTGATGGCAAACTGCCAATGGCTTTGCGGACGAAACTATAATGGAATTTGTGATGAGTTTACACAGGCGGCGGATAAAAGATGGGAACTTAGGCATGTTGAGAGGATAGGTGTTGAGGGGAACATGAAAATAAAGTTAAAGTACTAAAGAAAATGAAAATGTATATTAAGCAAAATAGCAAAATTTTCATTAAATAAAACAACTAAAACAAAATAAAATAAAATAATCTAAAATAAAATAAAAAATTAAAACAATATAAATTAATTAAAAATAAAATGCAATTAAGTCAAATAAAACAAAGTAAGAAATTCGAAATAAATTGAAATAAAAACAAATTCAAAAATAAAAAAAAAATTAAATACAATAACTTAAACTAAATAAAAAAATAATTAAAAGAAATAACATATAATAAGAAAAAACAAATATATAAAATAAACCAATAATAAATAAAATGCAATTAAAAAACTTAATAAAATACAATTAAGTTAAATTAAATAAAAAAATATAATATAAAATAAATTAAAATAAAATAAAATTAAAAAGGAGTAAAATAAAAAAATGAAATTATATACATTAATATAAAACAAAATGAAATAAAATAAAATAAAATAAAATAAAATAAAAAATAAATTGANAAAATAAAATAAAATAAAATAAAATAAAATAACATAAAATAAAATAAAATAAAATAAAATATATATAAATAAAAACATAAAATAAAATTAAATATAATTGAATTAAATGTCATTGAACAAAATAAAAATAAATAAAAAAATTAAATAAAATATGATCAATGGATGTGTTCAAGAAAATTCATATTTGTATATTATTCTAGTCTGATGTTATTTACTACAACAGCATTTAATTTGTTTGTTTGTATTTGTGCAGTATTTTTATTACCATATTCATTTTGAAAACTCTGCGGTTATACAATGCATTTCTGGATATTGGTATTCCAAATATGAGCTTTTTTATTGTAATTACACGAGTTTCCATTTAAAATTTCTTTAATTTTTTATGCCACTCTCTTGGTTTTCTGTTTGAAATTTTTCGGTTTTAGTTCTATTTAATTTGTTGCTTTATGGTCAATGTGGTCGGAATTTGCAAATTTATCGAATATTTGCATGTGTGTGTGTATGTGTTTTTGCACGAGTGTAATGTGTGCCACATTTAAATGAATTTTTATGTTCTAATAAAAACCTCAGCGAGGGATTAGATATAGTTATATACGCAGGTATACGTTTTAACAAAAAAAAAAAAAAAAAAAAAAAAAAAACACATTGAAATTTTTGGCAGTGCAACCGAGCGGCAAATATAGTTGGAAATATTTGAAATAAAATTAATTTAATTGCAGTTGGTATTTATTTTGAAATGAACTTGTAAAACGGATTTTTATGTATTTGGGAGAGAATTTAAAGTAGCCTTTATTTTAGCTGCGAAATACATTTTTGTATTTTCAGTTATTGATCCACCTCAAATCATCTCATATGGACTGATAAATGAATCCAACCATGGAGTGGATCATTTAAGTTAGGCTGTAGACACACTCCGGCTCCCAGCGAAGAGTGACTTCCCCTTAATGAAAAGCACATTTTTTCAGAATCACCGATCTAGCCAACTTGTGAAAAACCCACTGTAAGCCTGCCTATCCTATTTTATATAATTAGTTCCTTTGTCAAAAGGCTATTATTCCAGCCTTAGGCATAGTGAAAGGGTTTATTTAAATTAAAAGCCCATTTTTAAGAAAACTTTCGACTCACCTCATTCCCTTTGTCTCGCACAAGTGTAGCTCGCCGAAAACACCGCAACCCAACTTCTCAACTATCACCAGCGATTGTCGTGGAAACTCTTGCACTTGAAAATTGGTCTGCTCCTCGTTAATATCGACACCGCCACCAACGCACCCAGCACCGCCATTAATGTCCAGATTGTAATGATGCGGTTTCAGAGCACCCAAAGTGGCGGCTGAACTCGAATAACCATATCCACCCGTTGGCGTTGTAGAACTCGATGCCAGGCTGGCCGTTGTAGAGGCGAGACTGCCACTGCCACCACCAATGCTGCCATTGGGTAATGTATTGCAAGCACCGGCGCCGGCACTTGCAAGGCTGCCACCTCCTCCTCCACCAACATCACTTCCTCCATGCTGGCCATGGCTGGCATTTGTTGAGGCATTTGCTTTGGAAATCGCTGTGGTCGCATAGTATTTCTCATTACTGCCGGCGTGTCCCAATAATGGCGGTAGCGGTGGTATCGGCGGTGGCGGGCAGTGTGTGCTTGCTGCTGTTGCAGTGGTGGGTGCTGGCGGTGGTGGTGGTGGTGGTGTTGTCGCCAGTTGTGTGTGATATGAGTGTTGATGTTGCAGGGTTTGTAGTTTTTGACTAGCGGTCGACAATTTCGATTGAAACATGCTGTTGAGAGTGTTGCGTGCACTTGTACTGTAGTTACTGTTACCTCCACCTCCACTTCCACCTCCAACGCCGCTGTTGGTGCCGAGGCTGGCGCCATAGATGGAGTTGGATTTTTGTGTACTGGGCAGTAGATCTTGCATATGCGGTACGGCATACTCTTGACAAACAATGTCTGGGACATCTGCAATTGAAAGGAGAAGGGAGAAGAGATAAGTTAATCGAGATTATTCTCCTCATTGTGCCTTAATTAACTCTAATAGTGGAATATAATATAAATATTAGGCGGCACCGTTAAAAATTCGACTTAAAAGCCATACTATTTTTGGTTCTCGATCCATCAAGAGCACCAATATTTATTTAATGTGTGCCATAGGACTTTAGGGAAACTTCGGCGTTGAGGCCTTGTTGATTCGTTTATAACTACGTGGCGCTGCTTATGCCAATTAAGAAGAGGAAAGGAGTGAAGCAGACATGCTAATTCTATACATTGAGGAACAAAACTCTAGAGCATCTATATATAAAATGGTTCGTTAATATGTTTGTTAACAGTGACCTTCAAAACAGCCCCGCTGATTATACTGAAGATCCGCCAGTTTGTGTCTATGGTTCCTGAAAAGTTGTGTACGAACCAAATTTTGCAGGGTGTGGATCACTCCCTGATCCTGTTTGACCTATTCGACAAAAATTACATTCTTGTTTCGATTTTCGGGAAATCCAGTAGCCACCTATAATTTTTTGTTTCAATTTATATAAAAATTAATCTTCCTTCAAGAAAGTGAACCTGGAGCTGCCTTTTCGGGAAATTCGTGTCTTTTTCCTCGGATGGTACTAAAGCGGCTTCGAGCAACAGCCTTAGTTCTTGCGTCGTAAGCATTACTGCTTGGTGGACGGACCACCTATTTCGCTCTGAAATTGCAACTGAACTTGCAAACCTTTGAGACTTCGATGTGTAATATTTCCAAAACCCCCAAATGCTAAAGGTATTACGTCAATCCACACGATGCAGATTTACCTTTGTCTACGGAAAAGTATGGATATGCCAAAGAAACATACTCAAAATGGCTGAATGAGATCACGTGCAATGTGACTAAATAGCAAAGATCCAAATTGGACGCGGAAAAGCAAAACATCTTATCCTTCTCGATTCGATAACACAAAGACAGGCATAATAATATGCTTCACTTCAAAAGAATGGTCTACTACACTAATGATTTTTGTCTCAGCTGTGAGGACAATGAGGACGAGGTCTCTATCAAACAATACCTCTGTCACTGTCCAGTCTTGACTTATACTTGCCGCTGCTTCCACAGTCTTGCTGAACTGCCTCAGCGAAAACTGGAGAACACGTTACATTTTTAAGGCGCATGAAATGGTTCGAATATTTGAGAAGGATAAATACAGGAGCCTCACAATGGGCCTATTGACGTAAGTGCGCTCTAATAACCAGCAGCCACATCAACTCAACTCGTGTCTACTTATGTAGAAGAGGAAGTACAATGCCACCTAGGGGCTCTTGATCGATTGTTGGAAGATCTGCGAGACAACAATAAACCATTATACAAAACGTTTTCATTGTTGGTGGGAGATTTTAGAATGTCTTTCCTCGATCAACATCATGGGACGAGATCAAGACTTTGTTAAAATTTTTAATATAGAGGCTCATATGTACATACAAACCCTGCAATTAAGTGCGTTAGAATGACGCTGTGGGATGGTTGATGTCTTCGTTAGACTAAGGGTTGACATCACTGCCGACCAAGAAGAGCACAGGGCGGCACAAGGACCGAAGAAATATACTTCGGCGGCCATATGAAGAATTGTAAAATTGGTGTTAGATTTGCGATGGAGAAAAACTCTGTATTGACATTCACTTGCATGAAATCTAAATGTTCGTTAATCAGCGTCCATGCCCCGGCGGAAAGGAGAGACCATGTGATTAAAGACGCATCTTATATGCACTCAGAATACGCTCATGAGCGTTGCCCTCTGATTATATTATTATAAAATTGTGTTTGGTAACTTTAAAGCCAAGGTGGGCAAAGAACAGTCGGAAAATTCAGCCTCCATGACGAAACATCCTCAACCGGCCTGAGGCTAATCGATAACGCCGGGGCTCAAAATATAGTTGTTTGAAGTATTAGATTTCAACCCACGTTGCTGTCGCTGGACCTAACACCGTCTCGGGTTATTAACTTGTCAGAGGGAAGATGCGCAGCCGTACTTTTGTATCTAAGAACAAACAATTGAGACAACCGACGGATTTGCGTGAGCATCAGCATCAACTGCTTTACAGAATATTGTCGGACTAAAGCATACCAGACGGTTGAAAGTGAAAGTATGCTCTACCCGATCCAAAAAAGGCGGTCCCACAGTCTGCGCCAATTGCTGTGAAATTAGTCACCTTAACATCGCATATAAGGCCCAGTCAAGCGTATTGTGTAAGAGACTAAATTCCACCGCCAAAAAAATTAATTGGATCTTCACAGTGGGGTTTTAGACCTACTTAATCCATATCCTTGCGAAGATCCGTGAGAAGAGGGGATCGACGCACACCACCTTTTCGTCGATCTTAAAGCAGCCACGAGAAGGATCTGTCTCTACGCCGAAAATTTCGTCTATTTAGAGACCAGTCAGTAGAGATTTCAGCCCTCCTGCCACTTTGGACTGTGTATGCAGTCACTATTCCTTCTTCTTGCTACAAGCTCGGACGATATCAACATCCGTTGATTCGGCCCTGGTTGTTTTCAAGAGAAAAATTTTGCGAACATTTTATAGCCGTTCGCGCGATGACAACGCTGAGGACCATAGATGATGGAACGATGGCCTTAACGAGTTATAAGAGGAGATTGAACTAGTTTAACTCAATTTCAATGATTGAAGAGCGCCATGCCGTTCGAATGAATAAAAGCTTTCCAGCTTCGAAACTTCCAGAACCCACTATTGGAAGCTTCCACAAAACCTTCACTCTGCTGGAAGAAGTAGGTGGATAGTGATATGATTTCACTTGGTATTTTCAAAAACTGAAGAGAAGAAAGAAATGGCAACCTCTTAAAGATGATGAAGAAGAAGAAGACCTAAAAATTGAGAACGTAAAACAATAAATCCATGAATATATTTTAAGCTTTTATCTGATAATTGGTTGTCCTTGGTTCATGCATTCATATAAAAACTTCTATATTTCACTTCACAGGCGAACAGAGGTACCTTCTTTCAGTCCGGTGCGAGTGGGCAAGTTTTTCCCAAATATTCAAACCTCTTTCTTCCCCAACTTATTGTTTTTTGTAGTTGTTTTATTAAAATACTACTCCAGTTGCCGAGTGGCTGATTTTTATCGCCGGATTTTGTTTGATCAAGGTGTAAACAACTCTCGTTTCTCAATAAAAGAATTCAATCATTTTAAGCATATTTTGTGTCATCGTCCGACAAATAAATTTCTCTGCTCAATACAAAAGTCACTCTTCCATAGTTAAAAAAAATAAAATATTTTCAATTCCACTAAGCAGCTAAAATATTTTTTGAGCTTATTTTTGGAAAAAAATATTGATAAAAACTATTTATTAAAAAAGAAATGTAAAAAAATTATGGAAATACACAAATAAATTCTGTGTGAAAACTATGAAAATACCAGCCAAAATAATAATTCTCTTCCCAAACACATGCTCTTGTTGGCCAATAGAGTTTAGAGTGCAATTTGAATTCTATTTCAGCTGACATTTTCTGGATTTGCATGTAAACACGCAAACATCAACAGAGTTACACATACATACACACAGATTCACACACAAAATGCAATGCAATGCAAGAGATGTTAAAATTTTGTTTATATGTATATGTCAATGTGTGTGTGTGTGTGTGTGTGTGTGTATTGGCATATAAATTCATGGAGTACAAATTTTGAAAACAAATCAACATGCAAACATAAAAATCAAAACTTTCCACACAACAACAACATCGACTCGTTGTTTGCATTTGCATGCGTATTCGTTTGCGAGCGCATTTGCATCTGCCCATATGTATATACATATATGTATGTAGCATACATATCAATTCATACAGTTTGTTGGGTGTGTGCGCGTGTATGTTTGTTGTGGGGAAATTTGGTACGCGTGAGCGCTACAAAATCCTTAAATTCAATTACCATACAAAACTTGGCGCCACAAAAACATGCAATGCAGAAAATAAAATCCCTTGCATTTACATGTACATGTATATACTTATACGTATGTATGTTTGTACATGTGTACCCATATATGCGGAGCACGTTTACAATAACAACAACAAGCCATACGCAATCACTTTCTCACTTTCTTGTAAAATACAATTTCTTGGTGTAACTCGCGCCAGCAAAAGTGGAGGGAGTGGCTCTATGTTGCGCATACGTCGTGGTGCACCCAGTAGTGGCCTGTGCTAGAAGGCAGCAATTCTCATTTGAGTGGAGTAAAATGCAAATAATACGCCTCTAATCGGTGGAGTTTATATAATCTATTTGCATTTGTCGGAGAATTTCGATATTAAATGTCGGGCTTGAACATCGAACGGTAGATACTCAGTCAGGATCATCATTTTAGTTAGTAGAAAGTTGTGAAGCTAAAAATCAATCGATAGATACTCAATTAGGACCATCTTTTCAGAAAAAGTCGTGAGCCCCAAAGTCTAAATCCTCTCTTTGATTAGCTCTACAAACATGGCGCCAGAAGGACTTGCTTAGCGGGCTTTTTAGTGATTTTCAGCTGAGCTCATCCTCCAACAAATGGAGTTACCTACGCTTTATACTAAGCCGCCTTCGAACGGCTGATGGTTTTTTATAAGGAGCTTTTAATTTTCATGCTTCAGAAAGGTTGACAATCTACAGTTGTCATAGGTGAACACTTAATCTGAGTTGGATATTTCCTATGTTCAGCTGAAAATCAAAAAATATGGATTTCATACAAACAAACCAGACCTTTCGCTCAATAAAAACTTATAGCAAAAACTGATGCCATGGCCGCAAAAACAATTATGAAAGATCATTAATTTTGATTCAAGAAGAATTGATTACATTATTTTTAGAAGTTGACATCTCGCAAGTGGTTGCCCGAACGTTTCGCGATTTTCCATCATATTTGCCAATATGGCGGCCAATTCTAGAAGGATGATTGATTGAGTTTGTGTAAGCACAGTGTCTTGTTAATATAAATCTTT